GCTCAGTAGGAACACTAACAAAGGCGTGTCGAATCGCTTGATAAGTGACCCTGGGCATAAGAATATCTCAATTACTCCCATCTTCTTTCTTACATAATGATTTTTATCTGTTCCATCGGGTTAAGGGCAGGAGACGTGACAGCAGAGTTCAATAGATATTCAGGCTAGAAAGACTGTAGACGCACTCTAATCTCCGATAAATCATTCGAGTAGCAAGCCTGCATCGTACCACGTAGCGCTCCATTGCATATGGGAAGTCACTGAACTCCTGACAAGAAAATCTACGAGTACTTCCATCAAAAGGGAAGTGGGACAATTTTGTTGTTGCTTCTGCTGCTGCTGCTGCTGCTACTGCTACTGCTAATGCTAATGTTACTGCTAGTGCTACTGCTACTGCTACTGCTACTGCTAATGCTAATGCTAATGCTAATGTTACTGCTACTGCTACTGTTACTTCTAATGCTATTACTACTGCTACTGCTACTGCTATTTCTAATGCTACTACTACTACTACTACTACTACTACTACTACTACTTCTGCTGAAAAAAGTAACTAATGGCAAGAATTACGTAACGATAACACTAATAATTGATGTATTAAAATACGCCAAGAAACTGTTAAGAAATAATACTTACATGCCAACAATATGACACATATTAGTTTAACAAATTCATATTTTCCTCCTATCTTGCCCGGTTCCAATACGATCAGATGGATGTTTAAAAATCTTTGTTCGAACGGTGACTTGGCTAGGGCTGGACGACCTAGAAATCAGCGTTAAATTCTCAGCAAGGGCAGAGATTGTTCTCTTGTTCACAGCGTCCACACTGGCTCTGGGTTTAACACAGCATCGTGTCCAGTAGGTACCAGTATTCCTTCCGAGAGGGCAAAACGGTACAAGCACATAATACCGAGGTTTATCCTGTCACTCCTCCGAATAATTTCGGCTCTGCTTGGTACCTTCTTCAATCTCATTTCATGCTAAGCTTGTTCTTCTATCCTGAAGATGGAGGCGAAATATTCTCTCTAAACGTCGGTTGACTTTCAACGAACTACACAGCGTCACATCACAGAAGATAAAATTCCTGAAGACCAAGACACTTGGATAAGTTAAAGCGCTTGGTGGCTTTTCTGATTTCGGAGAGGGAGCAAGAGAGAGGAGCCTTAGATAAGCATGTTCAAGTAACAGAATATAAAATATTAGTTATATTAGGGTATCATGTGTTAAAAGATACTGAAAATTATGAGAAAAATTATCGGCAACATGCTTGAGTTCCATGAAAGTTTGTCATAGACCTTACTCCTAGTTGAATGATAATATTGTTACGTGTAGTGTATATCACGCGACAAATAACTTCACGTGGGTCTCGGATTTAGCGAATCTTTATGGGATTCTCGCTCTTGCACTCTTTACAATTATTATTAGTTGTACTATCACTTGGCTTCTGTCTCAGTGCTGGATTCTCAGTTCTTTAATGCGTGTCGTGATCTCTGCTTATATAGGGGTTATGCTGACTCAATAGAGGACACCCCTCGCCAAGGTTCAATTTCACGTGTTCGGCAATCCGTTACTTCGGAAATGCTCCCTATAGATTACAGCGGTAACGTGTTTCGTCTCATTCGTTTTTACTCAACGATAATTCGTTCCTACGATTTGTCGCTGCGGAAACACCACAGTTTTCACGTATTCGTTGTCGTGGAAGTGTCCGTTCCTATTGTAGCGGTTGTCGCGGTGATGGACGTAAGGTAACGCGTCACAATATTGTTATGTTTATCTCCCTGTAGAGTGGAGACATACTTCCAAATCTGCTTAAGTGGTTGAATGCCAAGATTAGGGTTCTGGGATGTGGCGCTGTGTGGTTTTGTAGCTAGGTAAATATACTACTACAAGTTCGGAGTGACTATAGACGGGGGTTGGATTGGTAATCAGGTTTACTGCACACTTACAGAACCCGTTACTGCATTTCACAAATCATTATAGAACAAACTAGGCCTTCACCAGTCGTTGCCTGGTGACGGATCACAACAATGTCCTCTGCTTTTATGCTCACATTCTTACTGACTATCTCAAAACTTACTCATTGGTCCAATTGTCGACTCTCAGAAGTCAAAGTCAAAGTGACATTGCCATTGACGGTCAGTCATTAAGTCTTGGTGTCGAACCCAATATCGACTCTCTTTTTGTCTTTTGTATGTGCTGCTGGTCCTTACCAGTATCGATTCTCAATTAACTGTCCTGCTTATAATACAGCGGCACGGACCGCACAGAAAACACTGTTCCTGTGTTGCAGCAAACTGTTACGGTGGAAACATGCTTGTTTGTAAAGTTTCTTATTTCGCGATCATTGCCTAGCAACGAGTTTACATGGCACAATAACAACATTTTGGAGAATCTTATTGCTTCCATCCCCACGGTAGGGTACTCTTCCTTTCTGAAGGTGGAGACAGTTTATTTCTCCGAAACCTTTATACCTATCTGCAAATTCACAAGCGCTACATCGCCCCCCCCTAAAAAAACGGATTCATCGTGCTTAAACAGAGTTTAAGGCCATTATCAACTTTAAGTACTACTGCCTTTTAGACTGCTAGTAATTTTAAGGAACTCATAACATGTGATAGCGCCACTACAAGAAAAGTCACATGGGTTTTCATTGGAACTGGCGAGAAGTGTGACTTCTGTTAATGTTACGCAACACATTATTTGAAATGTGGCATGGAAACTTGGACTTTTTGAAGAAAACATGAAGATTAACTTGATTTACTGTAGCATATTAACAACAGTAAGTACTGGCCACGCGACAAGGGGCCGGCTTGAGAATACACAGTGTTTTCAGGTTCTGTTAGGAATGTGTTCGTTAAAAATACAAGACGTAAATTATTTTCAAAATTTCACTCTCCTTATTCAAACTAGTCTCCTTCTGAATCAATATAATGCTGGAATCGAATGAAAAGTTTTTGAAAACAATCACTGTATTCCTTTTGTGGAATCGCATTTAAAACTGCGGTAGATTTACTTTGGGTGTCCTGGATGGTGACGAGGCATCTCCTTTCATCGCCAATTTAACTTTTGGGGACAACCAGAAATCTGCTGAAGCCAAATCTGGTGATTACGGAGAATGATCCCTTTTTTTGCCAAAAAATCGCGCTCGATCTTTGATTTGTGGGGTGGGGCATTGTCGTGGAGGAGCGACCAGGAACCTTGCTCTCGATATTCAGGTCGAATTCGAAAAATTCTCGCCCACAAACGACTGAGGACTCCGAGATAATAATCAGAATTCACTGTTTGACCTTCTGGCAGAAATTCCTTGTAAATGATTCCTTTGGAATCGAAGAAAACGGTTAGCAGTGTCTTTACTCGACTCTTTTGCACGTGCACTTTCTTTGATTTCGGCTTCTTTGGGCTCAACTACGCTGCACTCTGCCGCTTTGTGAGAGGCTCATATTCAAACACCATGTCTCGTCACCAGAAATAATTGATTTTTTAAATTTTGTATCACTTTAGGCTTACCGTGACATGTCTTTGCAGTGTTCATCTCTGGCATGTTTTTCATCGCCTGACAGCGCGTGCGGTACAAGCCGCGCACAGACCTTCTGTTTGCCAAAATTCTCGGTCAAAATTTGATGTACAGTACTTTTTTGTATTCCCAAAAGTTCCTTAATTAGTCTTGCAGAAACGCATCTGTCTGATGCAAGGATTTCGTTTACTGTTTTCACATTTTCTTCAGCGCTTCTTGTTCTCGGCTTTGATGCACGTGGAGCGCCTTTAATGTCTTCCCTGCGGTCATGAAATACAGCATACCAGCGAAAAATGTTCGAGCGACTCAAACAATCACTATCGTACACACTTTTCATCATTTCCTACGCTTCTCCGGATGTTTTGCCTAACTTCAAACAAAATTTTATGTTGGCTCTCTGTTCAACCGCCATTTTCCGACGAGCATCAGAACAGTACTGTTACATTCAAGGTCAGAACACATGATGCAGCAATGCTTAAGCTTTGAAACTGTAGACAGCCACAGCTGAAACTTCAAGAATCTTAACGCCACAACTCGCCAACAGATGGCATTTGCAGGGAAAAAAAAGTCCTAACGGATCCTGGACACACCGTGTACTTTCAATGACGGGAGGAAATTTTCTCCAGCTATGCTACCGAGTATACACGTCAGCATATATACGTATGCGTATAGACGGCTCTATTTGCTTAGGAGCGTGGGAATGAAATGCAAATACCACATTTTCGTTACATAATATATTCGAGTAAGAATTTCAGTCAGGGCTGCTCGGTCACAAGACATCGACACACGCTTCGCAGTGTTCTAGAAGTGCTGGTAAATTTGTTGCAAAGTAATTTAATGTTAAGCCAACTTTTGTCTCTTTAAGAACCATAACAATATACAGAAACTCATATCTCCATATGGTAGCAACAAAAATAGAATGAAAAATTTTCCCCTACTCAGGTGTTCCAAATGTGGTCTGTCTTATTCTTAATGCCTTATTTGCCTTAATCTTCAATGATTATGTGCACAGATTATTTATTGCAGGTGCCCGTTCATTGTTTTTCTAGCCTTTTAATAATTAGCACGTTTAAAATTTCTATCTATATTTTGTTATTTATTACAAACTGCGCTTCTAGGATTTTTTCATTGTTTGGAAAAATTGAAAAGAAAATGGATATAAATTGAGATACGAGTACATACGTGTTCATAATTTTGAACCTAGATGTATACCAGTGGATGACTTTTGTGAATACGGAAATGGACCTTCGGGTTTTATAAAATGTTTGGAAATTTTTGAGTAGCTGCACAACTAGCGGCTTATCAAAAAACTGCATTACAGTAAAACTGCATAATGAGGAGCTTCATAACATTCAGTCTTCAGTGAGGATGAATGGCAGTCCACGTAGCGCGCATTGAGAGAAGATGAATGCATATAGGATTTTGGAGGGAAAATCAGGAAGAAAGAGACCACTAGGAAAACCTAAACGTAGGTGAGAGGATAATATTAAAATGCTTTGGAAAGAATTGAGCACGACGCAGCCAGACTGCGTAGAATGCACCCTGCCAAAGAGATATTCTATTGTTGCTCGTGTTTATCGCACAGTTGTCTAGCAATTTTATGGTGTAGACACAAACACAGAGATAGGAAGTTTATCTCATTTATTTTTAAAAACAAGAGAAGTAGGCTAAAATAATTTTTATTGAAATAGGATGAAATAGTTTGAACTGGATCAATCTGGCTCACGATAGGAACTAGTGAAGGGCTCTCCTGAGCACGGTAAAGAAACTTGTGGGCCCATACAATTTGGGGAAATTGTTGAGTAGCTGAGTGACTGACGGCTTCTCACGAAAGAATGAGCTCCATTTTGTTAGTTAGCTAGTTAGTTGATTAGTTGACTAGTTAGTTAATATTATAACCAGATCACTGGAGAGCATATCTGTTTCTAAAATAATAACTTTCCATGGGGATTTCGGATGATACTGCATCCAGAATTACACACAGCTTCGTTTCAATTAATTTATATTCTAGTATATATTTTCATCAATCATTCACACAATATTAACATACAACACATTAATAACTACTATTTATTTCTTTCTCTAGATTTTCGATATGTTTCGATCGATCAATGGTCACGATCATGTCGCCATTTTTATAAATATAAACGGTTTATTGCGTTGCTTAATGCTGACTTAAATACAGTTGAAATTTGGATCCAATTGCAATGATATTGTGCACGTGTATTGTACAAAGGGAGTATTTACGTCTAGAAATTTAACATCCGTTAGTCCTTAATTGATCGCAATATGAGGTTTTAAAAATATAAATTACCAGTAATTATAGTGTTATATATCGATGCTGTGTGGAGATTTAGTGAACAACAAGAGTTTTCAGCACAACAGGCAACTGGAGCTGTGACTGGTGTTGCAGTAAACAGGTACTTGTAGGATCTGTGGTTATGAAGAGTCCTATCCTCTGGGATATAACGCCGTGTAGTCCTTTCATGGTCAACCGACGTTTCCGAGGAATATATCGCCTCCATCTTCATGGCTGAATAATATGCAGAGCATGAAACCACCTTGAAAACATGTGGCAAACAGATGGTTGACTTTCAGAGGACTACACGGCATTATATTGCAGAAGACAGTGTTATTCAAATAGAAATTTATCATTCAGTTGAAGCTAACTTTTCTTTGCAGGCACAACTAGAAGATGACAAGTATACCTGAATTCTTCAAGAATCAGAGTGTCCTCGTGACAGGAGGGACTGGCTTCTTGGGAAAAGCGCTTTTGGAAAAGTTACTTCGTTCGTGCCCAGATGTTGGTATCATCTACGTTTTGATGCGGAAGAAAAAAGGAAAGGAACTCACTCAGAGAGTTCGTGACATTACTGATATGCCGGTAATATATATTGTTGAGTTTTGTTTGCGCTTAGAACCAAACTAGACTCAAATGTGCTCTTGTAGATAATTGCTTTCTTGGATTGGTATGTGGTAAGCAGTGCGAACTCCCGGTATGGTAACATTTTTCCTTATGCGATCATTACAGAACGCGCACTAATTTATGTGATTACTAAAAATTTGTGTCGAGGAGGCCCACGGCTTCTGAGGCCAGGATGGTATGACAATTACCCTCAATGTGGGTGCGTTAGTTGCACTCAATTTGAAAAGAAACGATATTAGTTGCACAGTATGTTACAATTATTGATACTGTATGTTAAACAATTTTTGCATATTTAAATATAATAGGGGCGAATAACCATGCTGTTGGAGCGCCTGTAAAATCATTGCTACTACTTAAATATATTAACTTCATACTTCACAACGTTTATGTCTCTTAGTTATATTTCATCAGTTATACTCTCCTTCAAGTATAATTAGAATGAGGCGGGCAGGGCGTGTAGCACGGATAGAGGAGAAGAGGAATGCATATAGGATATTGATGGGAAAGCCAGAAGTAAAGAGACCACTGGAAAGACCAAGGCGTATGTGGGTGAGCAATATTAAAATTTATTTTAGAGAGATAGGATAGGATGATATGGATTGGATTGATCTGGCTCGGGATAGGGACCAGTGAAGGGCTCTTGTGAACCCGGTAATGAACCTTTGGGTTCCATAAAATGCTGAGAAATGTTTGAGTAGCTGCAGAATTGGCGGCTCCTCCAGAAGGGCTCAGCTCCGTAAGTAAGTAATTTTTCATCATGAGGAGAACGCACTGTATGTATCAGATTTCCATTGTTCTACGATACACTCGTATTTATAAGGACACGGACTAAAATGAGAAATGGCAAAGGACCTGGAAAATCACAAAGGATGAGAAATAGGAATGAAATATCGAAATTAACAAAAATTACAAAAGACAGACCCGTCCTCTTGTCAGAGAGGGCGCCCCATAAAAACAAGACCGTAACTGTCAAAAGAGTAAAACAGTAAATATCTCTTCATGAGCCCCACATGAGGCTCGAGACCAAGACTTACTGATTGACTGACCGTCGGTCGCAATGTGACTTTGAATTCGACTTTCTAATCTAATGCCTTCATCCACCTGATTCTTCTATGGCAAAATGTTGTTTTACTTGGTGTTCATGAAGGGGATCACAATAATATTCCATAAAGAACAACGTTTCTGCGTACCAGAAAACGCAGCACTGTTATCTCTATGTAAGCTTTAATATTATCATTTATGTTTACGCATCCTTCTGTAACAGTACAAGACTTTTCTGACATATGTTCGTACAATCCTATTTGATCAACAGGGGAACTACTCTTAGCGTAGATTTTTTGTAGGGTTAATAAATTTTATTTACTCTTGAGTTTAAAGTAACTGTTTTGTTCACAGTTGTTCGATGTCTTGAAACGTGCTAACCCTGAAAATCTGAAAAAGATCGTCCCTTTGTTAGGAGACTGCAAGCAGCTGGGTCTTGGCTTATCACCGACTGACCGTCAGTTGATAAAAGAGAAAGTGTCAATAGTATTCCATTGTGCTGCTACTATCAGGTTTGATGATACGCTGAAGAATTCTATCATCCTTAACGTTAGGAGCACCAGAGAAGTCATGATCCTAGCCAGGAATATGAAAGAACTCAAGGTTTGTCAAATTACTTTTAATAAACATAATGGACGCAGTGCACTGATCTTACTTCTAGTCTGTGCACGGACTGGTCGACCAAAGTGTCGGAGTTCGAGTCCCGGTTGGTGCAAGAATTTTCACTTCTCCATGTTGCCCAGATCGACTCTGGGGTTCACGCAATGTACCCAGAGGGCAAAGCTGCAGGGTGTGAAGCTCACGATTCACCTCCAACTGCGGCAAACGAGAGAAGCGGAGTCAAAGCCCTGTTTCTGAAAGATATTTTGGATAAGTACTTTTTTGGAATGAGAATCATATATATTTTATGCATTATTTTAATATTTTAAAAGGATTTTGTGCTATTTGAATCTGTGAATATAAGTAGTCTCAAGTAGACGCCCAGAATGGCTTTAAGACCATAAATTCAATGTTTCATTAATCCTCCTCTTCCGTCACTAAGGGTCGCAGTGCAAGGGCCAGCAGTTAGGCCCACTCCTTACGTACGTATGTACTTCCGTTATTGACAGGTTGTTTAAACTAAATGAGTGATTTAAAATTCCTCAAGAAGGACATAGATTGCATTAAATTAGGAGAATGCTTGTTTCATGGGAATTACTCTCCTTCCACTAACTAAGAATATGTGTGACTGCATTACAGAACTCTCTGACGACAATGTACGGAACAGTAGCCATGGTTATTAATCTTGTGCTTTGGCCAGTGCCTTGGGGTTCTTTTAAAGCAATATTTCGTATATCGGACCAATTTTCGTCATCAGGTGTAATGTTGCTTCTACTGTGAACTACTAGAAAGGGGTAGTCTAAATTATTGGGCACCAAAGACAGCTCTAAAGAAATTTCACCCAAAAATACCAAGAAGAGGAAACCCGATCAATCTGAACTTCTCAGTAACTTGCTGACTTCCTCCCTAATAAGCGAAATAGAAATGGGGTAACATTTCCTGACTCGGTGTATCAGGTTTGTCATGCGGGTCACGTGGGCATTCTTCTTATTTCCTTTAGGGGTCGATATAGCACAGTCGGTATAGCGACTGGCTACGGGTTGGACGACAGAGGGGTTGGAATTCGAGTCCCGGTAGGATAAATAATTTTCGCTTCTACCCGTCTCCCAGACCGGCTCTGGGGTCACCCAATTTCCTGTCCAATGGGTATTTTCACCGGGGGTAAAGCGGCCGGGTCGTGAAGCTGACCACTCACCTCCGGCTAGTGCCGAAGTCAAGAAAATATGGATCTATACATCCACTCCATCATACACATACATGTCGTTGTGCTTAATTAGTTTAGCACAGGGACAGCTCTACCTTACACACCTTAATGGATACACTTTGACTTCCTCCCGACCTTATACATATTGCAATATTGCATATGGAGCTAGTTTTGTTGTCTGCGTTCCTTAGGACTTACCCCAAACAGTTCATCCATTTCATCAAATTAGCTCCTGCCAAGTTCACGGGGAACATTTGAATATTTAAGTTATGCCCTTGTCATAAGAAATGATCACAATGACAAGAGGTGCGTCATTAATATCAGATCGAGTTTTTTCTTTCAAATTGTTGATAAGTAAATCAGTGAACCTTTGAGTGTAACCACTAAGTGTCAAATTGCATCTGAGGATTCAGCTTGGTGTACGAACTCCTCATGATCAGAAAATGGTAGTTGCCATTTTAAACATCCCATGAAGAACTGCCTTCTCTACGACAGGCGAATGGGCAGATGGGAAATGCAGATACCGCCTGGTGTGTGGGTATCCTATAAGCATTGTTTGCAAAGAATGGCCCTTTGCAGATAACAGAAAGGGAAGAAGTAGATCTTAAATTGTTTTGACAATGGTATATACAAAAAACGAGTAGTTGTAATATTCAGAATTATTGTTTTGCAGACTTTGCCCATCGTCCGGTATTCTAGAAACAAGAAAGCAAACGTTTCGGAGACTAGATCTGTTTCCGTTTTCGTGATGTGGAAGATATCTACTCTGTTGGATCCCTTAGAAACAGCTTGAGGAATGTTGGGTCCCTTAGAAACAGATTGAGGAATGTTGGGCCCCTTAGAAATAGCTTGAGGAATGTTCGTTCCCCTAGAAAGAGTCAACCTCAAGCTCTTTCTAAGAGATCTGCCAGATTAGGTGTCTCCCCTCTCACCGGAGGACAGAACAGATCCAGTTTCCGAAACCTTGTGTTGTGATTGAGGTTAGCTCTTTCTAAGGGACCTAACAGAGTAGGTAACTCCCACCTCACCAGAGGACGGAACAGATCGAGTTTCCGAAACTTTGCGTTTTGATTGAGGTTAGCTCTTTCTAAGGAACCCAGCAGACTAGGTGTCTCCCTCCTCACCTGGGGACGGAAACAGAACCAGTTTCCGAAACGTTGTGTTTTCTAGTTTATAGAATAACGGACGATAGACAAAGTCCGAAAACCCAGTAATTCTGAGAAAGCGGAGAGTATTGTTGAATTATATTTTCTTAGCGAACTGGATAGAAACTATAAGACTACTAATGTATATGAAGAATTTTCTGATCAATGATAACATATCATGACTTTATCATATGCATATCCGAAACACTCACTCCCTGGAAGAGCTGAGAAAACCCATGGAAGTCCCAAGTCAAGATATTTCGTGCCACTGCCAAGATTCGAATCGAGTACCTCCAGAATACGTCAGATTCGTCACTCCTTGAGCCTACTTGTTCGTCTTTATTCGACTTTGAGATTTAAATGGTCCCATTAGGACTGTCGAAACTGCGTTGGTATAGGAAGAAGTGACAGACAGCCTTATACAGAGTGATTCACAAGGAGTTATCGCCACTTATGGAGCTCATTTCTGAAGACATTTTGAGCAAAAGGTGTCAAATAAACCTGGGTCCTATACTCAATATTTACGGAGTTACATTCGTAATTGGAAACGCACTACTGTGAACTGATCGCCAGACATTTGCCCGCTATATTATTGCATTTGGGGATCAATGAAGGACATTGTTTATCAAAGGAAGGCACAAACACGTGAGGAACTACTTGCTCGCATCATGCACGCTTCTACGGAAATCAGAGATAACAGTGTGCACCAACGTAGAGCAACGTGCGCGGTTCACAAACGTGCGGACAAGTGCATCGAAGCGGAGGGCGACATTTTTGAAAATGTGCTGTAATCTCTGTAAGACTTTACAAAATTGAACTACAAAGAATCAAGTCCATAGAATTAATTTGTTTTTGTGAGAATAAATGCATTAAAATTAATGCAATAAATTACGAACGTAACTCTGTAAATATTGAGTATAGGACCCAGGTTTATATGACACTTTTAGCTTAAAATGTCTCCAGAAATGAGCTCCATAAGTGGCGGTAGCTCCTCGTGAATCACTCTGTATATACAAAGAGAGAGACAAACACACACAGAGGCACGGACACGCAGAGACACGCGCACACACACAAGCAAGCATCCATACAGACATAGACGTACACATAGACACATAGACACCGAAAGAGACAGAGACACGTTCACACACACAGACATAGACACAGACATACACAGACAGAGACAGACACTTTCACACACACAGACATAGGCACAGACACAGACAGACACAGACTTACACACGCACACACACACAAACACACACACACATATACACAGGCACAGACATACACACGCGCGTACACACAAACACAGACACAGACATATACAGACACAAACTACACAGATAGACACAGACATACAGACGCGCACACACACAAACACAGACAGAGACAGACATACACACGCGCACGCACACAAACACAGACATACAGACGCGCGCACACACACAAACGTACACAGACATACACAGACGTACACACGCGCACGCACAGAAACACAGACATACGGACGCGCACACACACAAACACAGACATACACAGACATACACACGCGCACGCACAGAAACACAGACATACAGACGCGCACACACACAAACACAGACATACACAGACATACACACGCGCACGCACAGAAACACAGACATACAGACGCGCACACACACAAACACAGACATACACAGACGTACACACGCGCACGCGCAGAAACACAACAGTGATGAAGGCTATGTTCAGTCAGTAGAGAGAACACGAACGTGGAAGAATAGCGCTACTTGCTTCGGTGGTGCGGTAAATACAGCGCTCAGTATATCTGCTGGGTACGAGATTCTAACATTTTGTCAAACAAATCCAAAAGTGATGCTTTTCTGAAAATAACGAATCAATTATCAAGAATGGGGTGATTATTTACAATTGAGAAGCTTTTCCTTTGTGCGGTCTGTCCAGTAACGTAAGTGATCTCCAGGCCGTGTCCACACCGGAGGAAGCTGATTATCCCAAGAACGTTGGAAACGCTGAATACAACGGGGGATGGAAAGCCCGAGGACGTTAGGGACAACTCAGATTCTCTTCTGCTGTAAGAAATTGTCCTATGCAATAACTCAGCACTTGAATTCCAGGTTGTTGTGCATGTCTCTACTATTTTCTCTAACTGTAACAGAAAAGTTACTGATGAAGTCTTCTATCCTACGACAATCGACTGGAAGGAAATGATCGATGTGGTGGAGAACATCGATGACAGTACTATCGATATACTAACACCCAAGTAAGTTGTCTTCTTTATTAAAGATTATAAACCTTCAGTATAAGAATCCTACGTATAAATTAGATATGATTTACCTTAGAGTTTAATCGGTGAGCTAGTCTTGAACTGAAACGGTCCTCAGTGAGAGGAGCCGCAGCAGGATGAGATCACAACTCTTAATAGAAAGTGCAGCAAGACGCATTCAGATATTAAGTGACGTACTGTTACTAATGTCTATTGTTATATGCTCTCTAAATTACTGTTTGTATTTAGTAATATTTATTTTCTGGCCTTTATTTAACAATGTTGTCAATATTCCGATCTGTACATTTATTGTAGGGACATTAATTAAACGGGCCAACCTCAGAAGTTTCTCAGATTAAGAAGGCTAACGCCCACGGTTCTTTAATTCTGATACAGCTATATAATATGACGACTTGCTGCAGACGAGGAGTTGGAAAAGAGTCGTTTAATTTCTTTTTTTTTGAATCACATTTTGATTTTAAAAACACAAATTTGTTATTGAGTAAACAGGTTACAAGAAAAGTAGTAGGTTTTAAACAAAATTTCAAAACGGTAACTTCAGTGTTTCAGTGCTTGATTTATGATAATTTTGAAAGTAGGGGTGGCGTGGAGGAAATCTTGCAGACACTCATTGGTGAGTAAGATTTTTGGGATGGGTTGATTAAATATAGAGGCTGAAGAGTAAGTGTTCAACAGCAGGCCAATCAGTGGCCGCCGTGCCGAGTGGACCCAGTTGGACTCCACCCCCCACTAAGCGAATTTAAAGAAAAAGAGTGTTCAACAGAGTCTGTACTATTAACAGACAGAAAAGGGGGGAAGGTGGCTAGATCCAATCAACAAGCAGAAATGAACCCAGTCCTCTGGAGATGAGGGCAAGAGGTGAAGACGAAAGGACAATTCGGAATTCACTAAATCCTAGCAAAAGTTAGAACGAGCCACTGAGGGATATTCTTTACGTGTGACGATGTTTGCGGTCGCCGTCAGTAAGAAAGTTGACCGATGTTTTGAGTTTATTTTCTCGAAACCTCTTTATATTGTTAGCTTGGCAATTCACTGTGTGCTGGATCAGTATTGCAGTTACTGTTACAGTTGAGTCTCAACGATAACCCTACAGCATATGTTTCTCCTGCCAAGTTCCTTGATTTTCCCCGTGATGGAAAGCTATCCTGATATATCCATGTAAGATGGCTCAGCGTAAATGAGAACGACAAGTGAATTCCTCCAGGTGTTTAGGCGGGGAACGGACTGAAGTAATCCGATTTTCCGTCCCCTTGTCTGCTCTGAGATGAATTGCGGCAGAATTCATGTGCACCTCCGAAAGAAAATCTGAATTGCCCATGATAGATAGGGTCCACATTATTCGAATTAGCCTTGCTGACAGTGTCCTCCGCACCCACCGCCCTGGTACTTGGATTCCGAAAAAACTTAAATTCCTTTAAGAAGGAATTTTCCCTTTTGTAAATTTTTCTGATAATTAGCTCGTAAACAGCCTTACGTCACGGCACTCATTATGCATAGGAATTGAACAACATAGCCCTCGACTTCAGGGCCTGCACCGATATCAAATTCCCAATTATCTTAACTTACGCTTTCCACATATCACTGCCTTGGTTATAGACACTCTCTGATGTCATTGGCCCATCCTCCAACCTTCGGGTCTTCTGACACGTGAAAGGCTTATAATATCTCTTAACTTACTGCGTTCGTATATTCCGGTTCGGCCTAAAATGTTCTGTATACTGATGTTTAGTTTATTCTGAATTTGACTGCTCATGGCTTCTTCCGTGAAGACTGCTTTTTTTATAATGCTTCCATAGTCTCTACAGCAACTATACATCCGAATTGTATGCTATATATTGCTCTTCTTTGTTCATTCGGTGTGATCCTCCACAACACCGACTCGTCTGCAATGCTTTTCGTAGCCTTGTGGAATACTTACAACACCATCCCGCGAGCACCGACATTCCCAGCCAAGTGCCCTGCCTTCTGGAGGCAGGAAAATCATATGTATTTTCCTAGCTGCCCAGCCATATTGACCTTCCCGCCATTGAAGTCGGTCATACAGATGCTTAGGAAACCGTTTTACGTAAAAATGTAGTAATTATTGGCCTTTAGGCGCTGTCGTTTTCACCTGTCTTCTGTGCGCTGTATTCTCTTCAGCGGAACACGAGTTGAGTGAAGCGCAAGGAAATAAATGACGAGCCGTGAAACTCTCCGTCAGAGGGAGACAGTAATCTGTCTGCTCCTTCTATTAGGAAGAAGTAAAGGTCACATGGCCTTGGACCAGTCACAGTCACCTAACTTACCGACATTCCTTACGTGGTTGTCCGCCACCCGCTTTCACTGTGTGATGCAGCTGTTTCTTTTTCTCTCGTTCTGGTCGCCTGTCAGTTTAGACTAAAGTACGTAGTGACGATGCTAAAAGTCTCGGGAAATGCGTTGCCAGCAAGTCAGTTTAACTGCGTGCTTATTCAGTTTTACGTTTAGAATTGCCACGTCGCAGAAATCTTTGTTTCTTGATATTTATTTGCCCAATTTTTGTGAAACCCGTGACATTGCTGTCATCTTTCCATGGATTCTAGGGCACGTACAAATGCACAACAAAGCCGTCAAGGAGGCGGTGAGCTCAACGGGCCAACACATTTATGCTTACACTGAGGGCTTGTGACGGCTACTAGATGTCTCTGGCTAGAGAGCACAGTGCTGTAAACAATTCAGTCAGGCTGCAGTGGGTATGGAATTAACGAATGCGGAATGCAGAATGCAGACAACAACGAAACCGTTAGATGTATAGTGAGCCGTTACACTGATTCCCGTAGTCCTTGTCCTTGTTGTATATATTATCAGACTTTGTAGAAACAAATGAAGAAATAACAAATAGTGATATTGAATTCGGCAGTCAGCGTAGCAGTAGGACTTGTTTAGAAATGTAAATGGACGAAAACAGTGGTCAAAAGTGGATTTAGAATAACAGGCCAAAGAAAATTGAGAACAGCCATGCGCTCACCCTACGGCCGTCAGAGAACAAGAGGTCTTCGTGTACGCCCAGGAACACCCAGGAGTCTTGCCAAGACCGGAATAGTAAATGAATGCCCTTCAACATTGTGCATTTGAACACTCATGTGAAGTGGCAGGGTTAGATAAAAAAAAATCAGCTGACAGGAAGAGAAGGGGAAGCACACAAGGCGAGAGGGGGGAAGGCGGATACTATTCAATTTGCTAATAATATGCACTGAAATGGTTAAGGCATGGCTCAAAATAAGTGGCGGTTGTACCCCAGTTTTACATCTAAGGATTTTTAAATTTGGCAGTTGAATTTTATTTTAACTTAGGATTTTTGCTCCTATGTCAATTACAGTAACGTAACATTCCGACACACACACACACACACGCACGTACGCACACACATGCACACATACAGAGCAGTACATTGACTGAGACACGGTTCCACTTGCAAAGCGAGAAGCAGTAGTTAAACAGGATTTGAAATTAGGTAAGAATTGGTCAATCATGCATTTATTCGCCGACGATATACACGTATATCTAACAGTGAATGTTAAACCATGCATTATACGGTAAATCATCGACTCATCTGGCTTTTGCAGAATAGAAACCTTATTTGCAATAATCACTGTGGATTCCGGCCTTCTTCTTCCGCTCTTGGCCACCAACTGAGCCCGGAGTACTTAACAGAAAGGTGTTTTCTCACGTGTTGACACTGTGTCACTCTCTTGGATTAGACTTGTGTGGCGATATGCTGTCCTAAGAAAGGCTCTCCTAGTAGCTACTTGGGGATCGAGTACCAGGACTTCTTTGCAATTTATATCAATTGAACCTTGATATCAGTGATGCTGAATAGTGGAGTAAAGCGCGGCCGGCGCGTAAGGCTGACAACCTTACCGCCATCTTTGAGCCGATTATCTAGATAATGTGGGACCCTCAACCTCTCACAACCCTGTGGGCCTCCACGGCCTGTTATAGGCATAGCTTTACTTTTTAAACGTTAAAGCTCCACTCGAATTTATCTTGCCATTGGTCACTTCCGTATCTACTGACTTCAGAAAGTCTCTATGTGGAATATGTGGAATATGTAGAACCCCCACATATTTTTTTTTTATAATTTTTCTCGATTGTAATTAACGCGTTGAACACGGCAACGCAAGCTCTTTCCCGTCTTACGGTGTCCCACCTGTCGAAACCAGCATGAGTAGAACATAGAGCCTCTCGACTTTTGAGTATGAGTCTTCCCCAAATTATACGCTGCTTGTTATAAGCTGTCCGCAATGGATGCTCTGATTCTATTCTCGACTCTTCCAACATCTGACGTCATACATCGCTGGTATTCTATGGAACTCCTTCCTTTCATCCGAACCATGTGGCTGTATGTATTGGGTTTTGTTGGAGGTTGTGCTGGTTGCGTCTTCGTTTGTGAGGATCAGTTTCTTCCTTGCCACCTTCATGGTATTAACAACGTTCCTGTGGTCAAACTGTGTGCTACTCACCAATTTGTTTTGTCTCATTCGGCATCACCCTCGACATTTTTACCTTTTATGAATGTTTCGTTTGCATTTTGCAGAATTTCACATGATTTATAGCAAACCAACCTGTCGTTGTAGAGTTTTCATTTGAAGTGACCCACTTCTGTGAGTCAGGCTAATCTCTTGCTAGGTGCACGGTGATACGGGCGCTCCTGACTCATACGTTTGCCACTGAAGTTGGGGACTACTGGATACGTGACACTGAACGAAAACAAAGCAGCAATGTTCTCTTCTAGCTTTGTAGTGCTGTTCTGTCTACTTGACGATGGATGTCGCACGCAGAACAAATATTACGAGCGATGAAGATTAGTGTATCACATGTGACAGTCTTGTTCCAACTCCATCAGGAGGGACGAAGGCATAAGCTGATAGCTCTGCAATGGAAAGGCGGTACTGACCCACAGAATTACTGCTTTTTTGGACTTTTTCCATCATCCGGAATTCTAGGTAATAGAGGACATGACGTTTCGGAAACTGGACTAGTAATTGAGATTAGCTCTTTTTAAGGGGTCCAACTGAGTAGGTGTCTTCCTTTCTTACCTGAAGACGGAAACAGATCCAGTTTCCGAAACGTAATGTTTTCCATTACTTAGAGTGTCCTCTGTTACCTAGAATTCCGGACGATGGAAAAAGTCCAAAAACCCAGTAATTCTGTGTGTCATCCACCATCGTCAGAACCCGTTAGAACCTAAAGGCCGTACTGGTTTGCGCCCTTTGTTGGGTAACCCTTAGTGTACCAGCTTCATTTATTGTTCGATTACTCTTTTTATAATGTTGAACGAAATATCTTAAATCTTTCGTCTTTTCTGCCTACTTTATTTTCACTTGTACTTATTTAAATTTCAGGTCCCTGTACAATCGGAAGTTTATCATATTTAATCTTTCTGTCACTGTCCAAATAATTTAAGAATCTCATCATGGAATTTATTTTCCGAACCCTTTTAAAACCCAGCATTAATTCGATACTATCTATTGATTTTTAATTTGGTGTTCATGTAGGCCTAAATAAGTACAGAAACTCGTGCATCTTGAAGCTCACACTCACCTACATAGCGATGCAGCATTTTATTTTGCTGCCAATACGATCTTTTAACATGTTATTTGTAATCTGGTTAAATACTCGTACGTAGGCCAACTGGATATACTTGTACAACGCTCCTCCTGCTTCTGCATCTGGACCATACGCAGGAATGTTTTTACTGAATTAGATTGATCGCTTTTCTATCTCTGAACTGAAGAGATGTGCATATGTTTCAGAATAATAGGAACATTTCCAAACACATACGTGTATAGCAAGTCACTAGCAGAGAAAGTGGTGAAAGACCTTGGTGTGAATCTTCCTACAGTGATTGTCAGACCTTCTATGGGTGAGCAAATTAAATTACTATTTCTGAAAAAAAAAAAGGTGTTTACCGAAAAGCTAATAGCTTAGTACTGACATGTATGTTACGTATTGTTATTTATCGCCGTTTACGGTAGCTCAGCGGTTCAAGGCATGCATTGTCTCCGCTCACTCGGAAGCCGGGATCGTGGGTTCGAATCCCACTCAGGGCATGGATGGTTAATGTTTGTGTGTGTACGTTTTTCTGTGTTTGTGTATAAGTAGGCCTTGGGACGAGCTGATCACCCGCCTAAGGAGTCCTACCGAATGTTTAAGATCTAGCAAACCGAAGTGAAACTGAGAGTTTCATGGAGGTGGGCCAAGGCTGAAATTGGGGCTGTAACGCCAACGGAAGAAAGCTATTTATCGATAATATTAATGTCTCTGTTGCGCCGTAACATTGCCTGTTCTCATTTGTTAATGCTTTGATGATGAAGAAAAAATGTGACAAAAAAAAAGGCAAATTTGTCCTTGTGCTCAACGAATTAAGCACCACGCCATGAAGGCGTGTAGAAGAGTGTGTATAGATCCACATATTCTTGACATCGGAACTAGATAGAGGTGAGTGATCAGCTTCACGCCCGTGCCGCTTTACCCCCGGGGAAATAGCCCCCCGGTACCCATTGGATAGGAGGTTTCGTGGATCCCTGAACTGGTCTGAAATATTTGGAGAAGAGAAAATATTTCACCCTACCGGGACGCGAACTCCGACCCCTCAGTCGTCCAGCCTGTAGCCAGTCGCTATAGCGACTACAAGAAAGCAGAGTGTATTCATTTTCACACGATATCGTATTCCTGACTGCAAGAATTAATGGAAGTTCTGCGTCATTCAGTGCCACGTTTTTATTCCTTGTCATACAATATTTGTTTTGTAATAAAGAAGTACTTAATTAAAAATTCACCTGCATTCGAATTATTATTATTTAATGACAGAGTAACAGACACACTTCTCTGTATTTATCCGGATATATGTTATGGAATTTGCATTTAATTTTACAGATTTTGAATTTTGTTCGAAAAGAGAATTTTGTTGAAAACATTATTAAATGGAAATTGCAAATACAAATGTTGCATTGATCTGTGAGATTATTTAGGTAATGGTAAAGGTCACGGTCTTGTTTTTCTCAGTATATGAGCTCTTAACAGGAACTGTTTCTGCTCCGTGAATCTGTAAGTCAGTTATTTTCTCTGTTGTTCTTGCTGTTTTGTTAACAGTGTTTACTTCATTGAGTGATCCCTTTCCTGGCTGGGCGGACAGTTGGGGTGGCCCCGTCGCTATATCTGTAGGTGTTGCCAAAGGCATTATTCGAAATTGTAATGCAGATCGCAATGCTGTCATGGATATTATACCAGTTGATACTGTCACAAAAATAATATGCTCAGCGGCCCATGAGAAAGCACTGTGTGGGTAAGTTTTGCCAGCATTATGAACCAGTATTTACAAGAATCTCATTTAACAGAGTAACTGATGTAACGAAGTTCTGAGATATATATACAGTAAAACTTGGTTATAGCAACATCGGTTTCTGCGACACCTTGTCTATTGCGTCACATATTCAATGGTACGAACTAATTCCTCATAAAGCAACTGTTTTTATACCTTGCTTAGTACGACATGCACAAATGCATCAACCTCGTATGTAACGTCATTTTCATTCCTGAATTTCTCTGATATGGACATTGAACGTAATTTAGAAAGTGTGTATTGGGCAAGTAACAGGAAACAGATGAAGATAACTGATTACTGTACTCGTATCTAGGTACAGTAAGGCACAACAATTGATGTAATCTACTGTAATTTGGTGAGTGGGCCTACCTTTAATATACAGTATTAGTGCGGTGTGTATTGTCAGTGAAAAGCGCTGTAATATGTCTTTGATATTATACATTTGGGCAATTCCACGTTAATGTTACGTTAGTCTGTACTTAACTACGTATTTCACTAAAAAATGCAACATTTTAACTCGGTTTTTGGTAGATTTTTACGTGACTAACATAAGGCTACTGTGGAAGTGCCCATTTCGGTTGCAACGACATTCGTTTATAACGACACTATTTTTAGGTCCCTTTGATGACGTTATAACCAAGTTCTACTGTATATATGTTCATATATATTTTAATTTTAAGTACTGTGTTTATATGATTTGCATCTGGAGACAAAACAAACCAGAGGGCCAGATAGAAATGACCAGAAGACGAGGAAGAAGACGTAAGAAGATGCTGGATGACCTTGGGGACAGAAGACGATATTCCCATTTTAAGGAGAAAGCTCTAGATCGCATTAAGTGGAGGAACTGTTATGGAAGAGACTGTGGCCCTGTCATCTGACAGATTACTGATGATGAATATTAATTATTACGTTTACAATTTTAAATGATATAAACTCCGTCTCAAGTGCAAACAATATATTTTGTGTCTTTGATCTTGCTCCCTACACTACATGTTTCGGCCTCAGACGGCCATCATCAGGTGTATAACACTCACGTCGCTGTCACACTGCAACCAGTTCAAAATTTAACATCTAAAACACTCTCCCTGTCATTATCAACTTCTACTTCGTTGATAGCTGTCCACCCGTAGATTACTTCACACACGTTAATTTGACTTTATTGTAATAGCACCATAATAAATTCTTTAGTTCTAATTTTAAACCTTTAAATTCTTGTCCAAATTTTAAAATTTTAAAATTGTTAGGGTTATTCGCCCTGTGTTTGAAGTGCTGCAGCGGCTAGTTCTTGTTTCCACACTGTATAGGTGTTATCCTGTGTAGTATTTCTGTGTGCGTGCCGCTGCTATTCTTTACTACGTGTGCTCACGTAGTGCAACAGGATGCTTAAATATAATATTGTTTACAATTTTCTCTGTTTTTTAGAGACAGAATGGAGCCATCTGTATACAATGCTTGCTCATATAGTCTGAAGAAATTAACTTGGGGATCATATACTGAGATATGTCTAAAAATTTTGGAGGAAAATCCCTTAGATGATATCTTGTGGATTCCAGGAATAACTTTCATAAAAAATGATTTACTTTTCTGGTTGATGTCAATTCTTTTTCAAGTTCTCCCCTCAGCTGTTCTCCACGGAATCCTCAAACTTAAAGGGACCAAGTCACCGTAAGTATAGCCATGCATCAATGAGAAAAACAATCATTGGGTCATTATGTGGTATTGATTTAAATTCTTTGTGCAGTCACCAGTGTTAACCAACATTTAATGAAATTTTTATAAATTATTAAGAAAATCTTTAGTTCTAAAGGGCAACATTTACGAATATTATCTATGGTTGAGGATCAGATTTGTTGGAATTTTTAGGCGTTTGTGTTTTCTGGTAAATTAACCAAGTTATCAGCTTACATCTTCATACGATATTAATTACCGCGCCTCTGACAATATGAATGTGTTGCTGCTCTTTATTCCATCTCGTAGAATGACACTGCGAGGCATGGAAAATGTACTGATGTTGTGTAAGGTTTGTAAAATGAAAATTGTTTGCCTGTTCTGCCGGGCTGTGGTGTTGCAGTGGTTCCTTTCATAAGTCAGGGAGTTCATTTGCGGAGTGAATGGGCAACTCCTTCATCAGTGGGATGCCTGGTTCGGCACCCTTTGAGACTATTATTAATGCCTCTTCTACAACAAACCTGTTTCGTTTCAACATACCTCATCCAATTGACTGTCGAGTAATTGTTTTTTTGTGAAATCAGTGATATTAATATTTATAGTACCAACATTATCATTATGATCATCACCATTGTCTTCATCAATTTATTACAACCATGGTTGAACTGACATGCATACAATAACTATAAAAAAAATGTCTGAAGAGGGAAAGGCTTTTGGAATATACTCATCTGACAATGGTGGCTGGAAATATTACCTCAGTGTAGAGTCCAAGGGCGATATGCCGATAATAGACGCGCAAACTACCGAAAAACAGTAGGAATTCTTTATCGGCTGATTATGAGCTTTCCGATAAAATTCTGTATATACATATTACTGCCGTACCACTGCTGCCACAACCTAGGATGACCAACTGTCTCATGATTAATTTCTGTTCGCCTAAAACCTAACAAGTGGGAATAATAACAAAAGTAGTAATGATAATTATTATTATTATTATTATTACTGATAATGGGGAAAATAACGTATATTTAATTGGAAGCAATTCTTGAGAAATGTATTAAACACGCATGCAGGAAGACCCATGAAAAACTAGCACTATCAGGCAGTATGCTTCTAAGAGCTCGATATGAGTATATGTTCACATATACGCGGCCGAAAATGTAGTTTGCAACATGAATTCAGATACGAAAGGGTAACATTTGATTACTTATGTAATGTAATGTAGGAAATCAGTATGATTCCACCCCTTCTTTTGTTTGGTGCTGATTTCAAGAGGTATTTCGCAGATGAACACAGTGCTCCAACATCGCCTTGCGCAGAAGAACTTAACAAGCAGAAGCCTTTAACTTTAAGTGCATTCATTACTTTAAATAGTGACGTTACTGTAGTAGTGACTTCAGCCATAGTTCTAATTGGAAAGAGTAAGAAAACAGCGCACAGGAAAAGAAGAAAAAGAAATCAGGTGCGAAAATTCACAAATCGTTGCCTTTTTGTGGCCATGCTCACAGCCCCTCAGGTACACTGATAGAAATTTCGGGTAGCTGTTTTCACTCAAACTCAGAAAATACGATTTAATAGTGGGCCAGTTTTGCCCCAGTCGAATAATGGCAGAATGAAGTGTTAGCCACTGCATGTTTACATGACGTAATAACTCGCTTTATTCCTCGTGCGTTGTCGACAAGTGAAAATACTGAATACAGCATTCTTGGCTGAATGTGTGAAATAAGTGAATATTTTGAAAGTGAAACCTTGTTAATCTACTGTCATTTCGTCACCTGCTTTCTTGGCGGCATTTTTTAGGGTGTCTGCTAGAGAGTTATTAGCAATAATTATGTAATTTACGTTCTTAAGTTTTTGGAACACTGATGAATGATTTACAAATAAACATTTGCAATTTTCGCTATTACATTGACAAACCTAGTTTCTCTAAATGCTTATTTGTTGATTTTCTAATGCCCCATAAAATCAAGCACTCAAATTTGCCTACTATCTCGTGCTGTCTAGAATTATATTTCCACTGGGAACATTTTGGAACCGCTGTGATTGGATTAGTAATTTGAAACGAAAAAGGAAGTAGGGTCTTAGGGTCTCTCCCATACCTCTGTCATGTCTGTGTAGAACTGCTAGGAAGAATTACAGAAACAGGAGCGAAAACCCCAGTCACGATAGTTGTGTTTTGTTTCTACCGGGAGATAGTTTTGTCACTTTCTCTGAATTGGTGAAACATCTGACAAAATTTCACATCACAGTCAAATGAGGAGTAGGAGTACGCATGCTAATCTTTGTGATATGCATTGACACATTCCACTGCTGTTATTCTGCCCCTATTTAGATAAAAGTTTTGTGATCACGAGATCTTTCGTTCAGCTCATTGTTATTTTTCAGCATAACATTGTTTTATAACCGGGACGAGTAACGTGTCTCACCATATCATCCCCTCTTCATAAAAAATCAAGGACTTCTTATCACAAATCTTATAGTGCACCCTAGAATCATCTTCCAATGTCAGTTTCATAAAATGACTTCTCCGTTGTCAGCATTTTTCACGATATACGTACACCTTCTTTCTAGATACAGGAAGGTCTAAATGTTTTAGGTTGCAGATCAGTTCGTTCCGCGTCCCTTAATGGCCTCCTACTGAATGTAAAACCAAAAACTGTAAATTAATACTGTTGCGATGTTTACTCTCACAAAAAACGTAATACGTTGCTCTTTGTTGGTCATATGCCAGATTAATTTGATTTCATGTTATAAGTACGACAATATGGAGGAAATTTATTTTATATTTTAAAAACAATTGGTCAGTATTAATATTTGCTCTATGATGATGCTCTTGATCTCGGAGAAATTTCACTGTTACAGGTTACTTTATTTTCAACGAAAAGGTTACATTGGCGCCCTTGGTGTAAAGTACTTTAACGGACAATCATGGGAATTCAAGAATAAGAACGTCCAAGAACTCAGGAAGAACTTGCTTCCAGCTGATAGGAAGGAATTTGACTTGGATGATTTTGAATCCGTTAATTTTAAGCAGTACTTCAGTGATGCCTATAAAGGGATTCGTCTGTATCTAATGAAACAGCCTGCTTGTACAACACCAGACGGATGGACACACTTCAGACGGTAACGTCAGCCTTCATATTTTAAATTTTCCAGATATACTTATTTTGTATTATATTGTCATATTTCTATTATTATGGATAGAGGAACTTCTCAAAATTATTGCTTAGATTTTATTAGAAGACATTCTGGTGTGTCACACTACATTACATAAAAAACTTCGTGGCTTTAGTCCGAAAGCGAACTATACTGACCGAGTGACAGCCGCTTGTCGGCGAAGTTAGCGCAACTTTTGATGATAGAGGGTGTCGCATGGTCAGCACAACGAATCCCCACGGCCGTTAATTTCGGTTTTCTATACCGGAGCCGCTACTTTGCCATGCAAGTAGCTCCTCAATTATCTTCACGAGGCTGAGTGGACCGCGTTCATACCGGCTACTTCACAGAAAATCTGGTAGTGCCGGGAAACAAACCCGGGACCTCTGGATCTGTAGCCAAGAACACTGACCGCTAGACCACAGAGGCGGTCTACTACATGTCATTAAGAGAACAAAAATGTCGTCGAGTGCGTCCAGTTTGATTCAATCATACAAATCGTTTTACATGCTTCTGTCGTCATGAGAAGCTTCTCAGCAGGTGAGCAGGTGCTTTCAATTCACCAATTCTATGCCCTTGGATTTAATTAATTACGTTTACAATTGCACTATAAATAAAAGTTTTATCGCACATTTTTACGTATTAAAGTGTACAATTGTTAAGTTTTTAAAAATATTTTAAAAGTTTTTTTAAATTCATTTACATTTACATGTACAGTCATTTAAGTAGACGTGTGTGGGGCCTTAGCATGTTAATCCTCCGAATGTTGACAGAATATCCTTAGTCTTTATATAGCATTTGTTATGATAGGCTGTGGCTGTCACGTGATTGAGTGAACATAAACCGGGCTTGGATTAGTAATCGGATTAACTGGACTCTCAAAGACCCGTAACTAGAAGCAAATCTAGCGCAATCGCTAATTTACACGCACTACAATTCACTACTGCCGATCACAGTGGCCTTGCGGTCTAAAGCAAGAACTGTCGTCGCTCCCTCGAACGCTTTGATCGTGGGTTCGAATCCCACTGAAAGGCATTGATGTCTGTGTCTGCGTTTCTTCTGTATTTGTGTTGTCCCGTGTGTAGGTAGAGGCCTTGCGGCGGGCTGATCCATCGTCCAAGGAGTTCTACCGTCTGTGTAAAACAGATCACGAAACTGAAGATGAGGCCAGAGGCCAACAAAGGGCTGTAGTGGCATTGATTAATAAATCCATAATTCACTATAACACGTACTAGTTCATCTCAGTCTGCTGTGTCTTCACTGATTGTTAGGTAACGGCTTCCAAAGTCGTAGATCCCTCAGCTTCCATGTTCCACCGATTCACGCCCTCTCTGGCTGTCGTCTATCTAATAGCTAACTCGGCGTTTCTACGCAGCGGCTTAGAATAATGAGAGCTCCTCCACTTCCCACGCCTCCACCAGGTGCGCCTGTCTCACAACAGCCTCAGACTCGGTCTCTTTTGTCTGCCTGCAGAGTCTCTAGTCTCTCCACATGGACTAATTCGCTTGTCTTTCGATTCTCCATATACAAACTCTGCACGGACCTAACAGAAAACACCATTCCTCTGGTGATGTGAGTGACGTGGTGTGATATGTTTCACTGTAGCTGCACAGTCCGCCTGGCAATACCGTTTCCCGCAGCTCTCCTGTTTTTGCGTAGCGTTACCGCTATCGTGGAGACAGTGTATTTACCGAGCGTACATATGCAACGGAAGTCTCCTTGGATCCTCTATTTATCCTTTCAGGCGCCATGTCAAAATAGAAAGGTTTTCGTGTATTTAAATCAAATTGGTCGCTCTCGATTGCGGTGTTGTTCCCATAATGAGTACCTAGAATTGAGCCCTACCTCTCTGACTGTTCGTGTAGGATAATGAAAATAAAATGAGACTGGAACAAAATTAGAAAAATCTTAGCAGTACCTTCCTGGTCTTAATTAGTGGATAAAAGAGAACATATGGTGCAAACTGAGAAGATATTTTCAGTTAGAATTGTCATGAGTGGTGACCGTAAAAAGTACATTTTTCTGGGTTACACAGTAGAGAAATTAGTCTTTAAAGTAACCACTCTTAGGGAGGTTTTCCCGAAATGCATGCCGTTAAAACCCAGAAGGCTATTCTCTTAAATTTGTAAAGCCTATTTAAAAGCACAAACAAGTGTAAAATGAACTTTGGTCTTAACTGTTTCTTGTGCTTCAAACTTCCCATATGACTTCTTCAGGATGTACTGGTTGAACATCATAGTAAATGGTGCAGTGGCCGGCCTCTTCTTATGGACTGTACTTCACAGCCGACTGGCGCAGAATTTGTTACCTTCTGCATGAGGTTGACATCAGTGGCACAAATCCCTGTGCGAATTATTCACCCACAAAGCTTAAATATCATTCCAATGGCTTTCATATTTTTCATGTATCCATATTTTCTGCCAGCAGAAGCAGTAAAGAAAGGTGTGTGCTTAAACAATGTGTGCATAAACATGGCTGATTGGGAGGTTCAAATATTTATCTCAGATCCTTAAACCTTTTTTTTGTGATTGGACCAGTGATATTTGGTATGATATGAAATAAAATGTATGCTGATATGAAGATGTGTCTGCTTTAAAAATGCAAGTCTGTGTCATTACATCTGAAAAAGGAAATAATTGATGACGAAACTGATTAAAAACTAATCTCGTAGTAAAATAACTGTCATTTAAGAATATAGTGCTCACAATAATAAATAAACAAGTATAAATACAATAATATGAAATTATAGCTCTTGACTGTCAGATGCAAGGATCGTTCATGTAGTTGCTTGAATTATTCATGCAATTCATTTCAGTTCTGTTTGTTCCAGATTTCAGAATATAAAACTATTAGTTGTCAGTATAAATAATATACACGTTCATCTGATAGTTATCTGATAGCTTCAGATACTTATATTTATTTAACTTTTTGCATCCAATAGCACTTCCAGATGAGAAATTTAAATTTTCTGTATCGGCGAGAATACTTTTGCTACAGTAGCTGTGTTTTCGCTTTTAATTCTTCAATCCACCTTAGCGTATCACAGAACGATGATAATCTACTAACTGTACCTAATTTCAGTCCAATTACATCCACGCTTAACTTTGTGTACTTTTAACTCTCTGTCATTCATTTCAGTAGGAAACCAAGTTTCTGGTCCATACCAAATAAATTTTTACCAGAGATCGACTGATTCAAATTTCCCATAATATGAAGCCACCACCAGAAGAAGAGCTCTTGAAATATGGTGCCCATCATGGCACAGAACAGTGTCGAACGCCTTAAAGCACAATGTAAATAGAAATGAGTTAACGGTCTGGTAAATCTGTTTCGAATAAGAAAGATATTCTGTTCTCAATAGCTTGGATGTTCAAGGAACAAATTGTAAATTTTGTGAACCAATATAGACAAAGTCAATAGAAGTTTGATTTTCTGAATTTCTGCAGGATATGGGGTTTAATTTTTATTAATTTAAATGGGGAACGCTGAATAAGAGGAGGAAGGGGAGAGAGAGAGAGAGAGAAAATGTGTCAAAATGATCAATAGCAAGACCTTCCAGATGGGTACCGATTTCTATTTGGGAGTCTGGGCACTGCAGAATATATAACTCCCCATTATAAGTGTGTTGTGTTTACCGGGATCAAAACTGTAACACATTTGTTATTTAAATTCACCAATCAGAACAAGTAAAACTTTTATGAAATGGGAAGAACAATTTCTGCAAAGGAAACAATTAAACGTCATCTGTGCACAACACGCCACTGATACAGTTAATTTGTAACTACGTGTATATATTCACCATAATATATTCTTGCCATGCTGGGATACCTAAGAGAGTCAGAAATATATTTCATTTGGTTTGAAACTCCATTGGGAAATGTGTCTTTGCAGAAAGCCTACGTTAAATGGAAATCAGACTTACATTAATTTTGTCCATTAAGACGGTTGCAAATTTTCTCACGGATTCATTCATTCATCAGTAATCTGTCAGACGACAGGTCCACAGTCTCTCCCAAAACAGTTTCTCCACTTAATGCGATCTAGAGATTTCTCCTTCAAATGAGAATATCCTCTTCTGTCCCAAAGGTCATCCAGCATCTTCTTACGTCTTCTGGTTCGCATACATGGTGTCTCTGTGTCTGGAAAGAGACTATCCAGGAAAAGTGATAATGTGGTAGTTTTTCCATTTGCTTTCCACATCGCAGTACAACAGCCGTTCAAACCACTCTGGTCACGCCTGTTGCTATACGAACTTGAACCATCTCGAGCATCATTTGCTCTGTGCTTCAAGTCGCTACTGATGACGCTGCTTCCGGCATCAGTTTTTGGTTTTTGGTGTCCCTCTTCGTCTGATGCCTACCCTTTGACCTGTCCAGCAAAGGAGGCCCTGCCAGTAGTTACGCTACCGCTGGTATAGCTCTCAGGGTCCTTGGCATACTCAAACCCCCTCACCACGATAAGGTGGAGGCACCAACGAGAGGGTCTCACGGATATCAGTACTCAAAATCTCAAATTTCATTATCCAGAAATTGTCACAACTTGTTTGTTTTTGCCACTTTCATGTCCGCATTCAAACTTCTCTCTATATAATATATATTCTATTCAACGTGTCTTTCATTATCGACCTAACTTTAAAATGGTTACACATATATGTGCCCTGTCATATAGTTCTCAAATTACCACAATTATTTCCTATGGAAAATAAAAGCTTTTGACGATCGTGACGTCATATTATGCTTCCTTTGCTTAGTAGAGTATACATAGAGCCAGATGGGCTGTAATTGTCTGTAGAGGTGAAGCTCAAGTTATCCATATGCTTAAGTAATTAAGCACTACGCCATGAAGCTGTGTGGGGGAGTGGATGTATAGATCCACATTTTCTTGATCTCGGCACTATTTGGTTGTGAATGGTCATCTTAAGGCCCCGGCCGCTTTTATCCCCGGGGAAAGAGCCCCCGATACACATTATATACGAGTTTGGGTGGACCTCGGAGCCGGTTTGGACGAATTTGAGAAGAGAAAATTCTTGATCCTACCGGGACTCGAACTCCGACCCTTCAGGTGTTCAGCCCGTAGCCAGTCGCTATATCGACTGCGCTATCCCGGCTCCTTTATAATTGTAAATAAAATTTATTTAGAAATATTTTAAATTAATATGTTAGTATTTGTTTTGTGATACTGAATCAAACCATAGGAAAATCGCTTTGGCCAGTATTCACGCCGAGAATGGAAGGAAGCAATTTTCGAATACAGGGAACCACTGTTACCCGCTGCACAGCGACCGTTGGTATTCTGTTTCATGTTCTGCAAAATAATGTTTGTTCGTGAATGAATCGCATTCTTCTCACGCAGGTTACATACGGAAATTCGGAGGTTAAATTTGTACATATTTGGTATCTGCAAGGAACGGAACAATTACCATTTAAGTGGTCAGCATACCGCCCCTCCAACATAGGAATTCGTGGGGATGCTTGTTTATGAATTACATCAGAAATCTTCACCGTAATTCGTCCGACTTATCTGGCTGAAGGCCGGGGCTCGATAAAGCGACTGAGATCTTCAATGTTTTCTTTAGTCCGTGCAGGCAATTATCTTCATACCTCTAAAACATTAAAAACATTCCCAGTATTTCTTTCGTCATTCATCCACATTTCAATTCCCATTGATGCAGAGTCATATAAGTAGTGGACGAGTACGCCGGGTACATTTCTGCACGTGTACATTGAATGAGGAACATCACGCCAGATAAAACACTGGAGCATTAACCCTAAGATCAGCAGTTCAGCTGACTCATAGCATCAAAGTCATTCGGATGCAACTACCATACGGGAAGGGGAAACATGGGCTGTCGTCACTGCCACCTATGTTTAGCGAAGGGCAACAGCATCGAACAGGTTGGTCCCGAATGTTCTGGACGAATCACAATAAACCTATCGTACCGTATCGTGTTTGTCCGAACCAATGAGAGAGCCCCTTAGAAACCTATCGAATCGTATCGGACGTATTATCTGAACCAATCACAGAGACCCTCAAAAAACCTATTTGATTTCATGGTCCGTTGGTGGCTTTGATGAATAAATTACCGCGTAGTGTCGTGTAGAAATGATGGGCATTTTTCTTTTTATTGGTAAGTATTTATTCTGCTTTGATATTGTGATACACGAGTCGACGTTTACGCATGAAGTTATATCTCAATTTTATTTCTGTGTATGAATGATATGCTTACCGCTCCGAATGAAACTGGAAATATGTATCATGTCAAAATTCTTTGTTAACGACATTTCATGGGAATTTTCCCCACCTACAACTTTCATAAACACAAGTATTCTGTGTATGTTATGGTTCACAATGTGCAGTGCATTTCAGTAAGGAGATGTTAAACTGACATAAATGCAAAGTTCACACTTTACAGGCACTGGCGAGAAAATTTCTCCCGACAAAACAATTTGCTACCTGATTCCTTGGCTGCAGAGGTTCTTACTCCGACGTATATTATTTTTTGGAACTGAGTCCTATATCAATTCACTCATATCCCTCCGGATGGATTATGAACCCAGTTCTGAAAAAAATACAAAACAGAGTAAGAACCTCAGCAGTACAAGGAATCAGGTCGCAAAATTATTTATTGCTATTCTTGTGAACTACGGGTTCAGAGGGGGATGAAGAACAGTACCCCAAATGCGGTGGTGTGATAGCACACTTTCTTACCGATTGAGCTCTCGGATAGTGGTGTATGGGCTGGCGGTCATTTTCTATTCAGTTACCTTAGCTGAAAATGGATGATACCATAAAGAAAAACACAGAAACTTTAATTGACGCAAGTAAGGAGGTTGATCTAGAAGCTCTAGAAGTAAACACAGAGAAAACTAAGTATATGTTGCTATCTTGTCACCGGAATGCAGGGCAAAATCATGACGTAAAGATCGGTAACAGATGTTTTGAAAATGTGGCACAGTTCAGATATTTGGGAACGACTATAACAGATCAAAACCTGATTCAGGAGAAAATTAAGAGAAAATCGAACTCGGGGAATGCTTCCTACCATTCAGTCCAGGACCTTTTGTCTTCTCGTCTGCTGTCTAAAAACATAATAATTAGAATATACAAAACTATAATTTTGTCCATGGTTCTGTATGGGTGTGAAACTTGGTCTCTGACATTAAGGGAGGAATATAGACTGACTGTGTTTGAGAACAGAGTGCTGAGGAGAATATTTGGACCGAGGAGAGATGAAGTGACAGGAATTTGGAGAAAACTGCATAATGAGGAGCTTCATAACTTTTATTCTTCTCCAAGTATAATTAGACTTATGAAGTCGAGGAGGATGAGGTGAGCAAGACATATAGCACGAATGGGGGAGAAGAGGGATGCATATAGGATATTGGTGGGAAAGCCAGAAGGAAAGAGACCACTGGGAAGACCAAGGCTTAGGTGGGTGGACAATATTAAAATGGATCTTGGAGAGATACGATAGGATGGTATGGATTGGATTGATCTGGCTCAGGATAGGGACCAGTGGAGGGCTCTTCTGAACACGGTAATGAACCTTCGGGTTCCATAAAATGCTGGGAAATTCTTGAGTAGCTGAAGATTTGGCGGCTTCTCCAGGAGGGCTCAGCTCCGTAAGTAAGTAAGTAAGTAAGTAAGCAAGCTGAAAATAGATGGAAGCAGTAACGCTGTCTTGGCGTCGCGGCCGTTATGCTGCCAGCCAATAACACTGAGTTGCGCGGGAGCGGTCAAAGTGCTGTCAGTCCAATTCCAGCAGGCAGTGAAGTCGGAAGAGGGGATACCATAAGTGGTACGTGCTACTCAGCTTTATCGTGGTTGGATAAGGAAATCTGTGGGTTATACATGGCATCACAAGAATATATCGTACTCTCCCGAGAACAAGGGAAGTACCTGTTTTACTAATGCAACTTGATATACATTGATTTATATTTAAGTTCTTCAGTGTTGGATAAGTGGGCAACTAGTCTCTCATTTTGAGGGACGGGGTTCAAGTTCCGTGGCGATATGAAACGGGCATTCTCTAGCATTTTTTCTTTGAATTTTGTAAGAAATGTGTAACCAGTAGAATCCATTCCCAATTCTATGCAATAAATTTGTGCATATTAGTTTTAAGTAAACGATACTAAATCAACTGAACTCAGATGTGTGCTAGGCGTATCGCAATTACTAAAACGTTTAGTTCTATATTTATTAAATCTACTTCAGTGTACGGTGGTTCATTTTCTCGAAAAAGAAATATTTTTCGAAATTAATAGGCCTATGAAGTATGAAAAATTTATCTCTATTTTGTGATATTCGAGATTTCCACTGTCCCATATGTGAAGTGCGCTGCCATATGTGATGTGCAGATAATAGAAGTTTAGTAACGTTTCGAAGGAATATATTGTCTCCATCTTCATGATCAAAGATTAAGCACCGCGAGGTGCTTGTTAATAGAATCTAAGTGGTTCTGACGATGGTGTATAACACTCAGAATTACTGGGTTTTCGGTCTTTGTCCACCGCCGGTATTCTGAAAACTAAAAAACACAACATTTTCGGAAGCTGGATCTGTTTCCTTCCTCAGGTGAAGAGGATTATCTTTATAAGGGACCGAATTGAGTAGGTATCTTCCCCCCTTACCTGAGGACGGAAACAGATCCAGTTTCCGAAAACGCTGTGTTTTCTAGTTCCTAGAACAGCGGACGATAGACAAAGCTCAGAATCCCAGCAATGCCAAGATGCTTGTTGCTTAGTTGACTTACTGCACGACTCAGAGGACGGAGAGCTATGTTCATCTGAATCACTGGTAAACTTCTATTGGACGAAATGATGTAATATCCGACAACATCTCACTTCTGCTTACAATTTATTCTCGAAAACCAAAACCAGAATTAAAATTCTTATTAAGTCGTAGTTTGTATTGAAAAGTTTTAATGAAAATCAACACGTGAAAGAGTCGAATTAAGGTTTGCCATGACGCTTAAAAGTTACGGTTGCGCATGTCTCCTGTGCAAACTCCGGTGAGCTATTAACAAACCAAGCAATCATAAGTAGGAAAACTATTTAATTATATATGAGAAATACTGTCACGTGCTGGGTATGTCACGCGACCAATAAATTCACGTAGACTTCAGATTCAACGATTATTTATTGAACTCATTCGTCCACACTTACTTAGAGTCAGGAATACAATTACTATCACTTGCAGAATCACAACTACTGCCTCCACTTCAGTACTTTTACTGCCTTCTGCGGCTGCGACCTCTCAACTATCCCTGGCCGTGGCTGGATCTCAACTGTCTTCAACTATATCTCGGCGAATGCTGGACTTCATTATATAGGGGTTTTTCGAACCGCTTAGAGAACACCATATTCAATGCTTCTGACAAGTCATTGTTACGCAACGAACCCTCCGTTGTCACGGAAATGCTGTATCGTGTTTCGTTTCCTTCGTTGTTACTCAACTACAATTCATTCTTACGATTTGTCGCTGAGGGAATTCCACAATTTCCACGTATTCGTTGTCGTGAAAGTGTGCGTTCCAATTGTAGCTGTTGTCGCGGCGATGGGCTTGAGATAACACGTCACAGTACACACAAACGTAAGCTACCTCTGGACCTAGTGGCCGTAGGAAGTGAGGCAGTTTTATCTGCGAATAAGTTTCGTATGCCTGTATAATAGAAGTCTGCCATTTATGAGCTCAACCGCGTTTTGAGACCTTCCATCGACTCCTTTTTTGAAGCGCTGTGATCCCAACCAGTTATTCACGTAGGTAAACGGGTGGCAGCCGCTCGGAGCGAGACCAGGGCTGTAAGGACGCTGGTCAAACAACTCCTAGTTGAAATGCTACAGCAGTGCTAGTGTGAGAACAACTGTACTCTCATGCGGAGGAGCGCTGTCATAAAGGAGCACTACGAGTACGCAGGGTGTCATCTTTCCACGCCTCCTATTCTGAAGAGCTCCAGAGATTTTATTAATATTTCGCAATACACTTCTTACGTTATTGTTGTCTATTGTTGCATGAATGCACCACGAACACTCTTTCCATTTTCTAGTAAACAGTTGCCATCAGCTTTCTGGCAGGCAGACAACGTTTGTTTAAAATTTTCGACTTGTTTGGTGAATGTGTTTGCATCAAATGCTTTGACTTATCTTCGGTTTCCACATTCACAAATGAAATCCAGATTTCATCTTATGTTACTCGTATGATATGGCTGAGAAATTTATAGCCATACTTGTGGTATCGCTCTAAAAATTTTGTGTGCACCCGTAAGCATTTTTGGGACCTTTCTTCTTCAAAACTTGTAACAGCTTAACCCAGCTGTAATAATTTCTTTGAGAAGATTAAGTGCAAATGGTGGAAATACTCACGAACTTTCTAAAATTGTGAAGCACCGTCTTTCACATATACTTTTCCAACAATTTTAACAAAATGATCCCTCACAACAGACGGCCAACCACTTCGTTCTTCATCGTAAATATTTCTTTATTTTTTCGCCCATCTTTGAACATTTTACACCATTGTCTTGCATCTCCTTCACTCATTACGTTTTGGTTGTAAACTAATCATAATTCAAGGTGGAGTCATGCCGTCATGCTTCTAGCATTAAGAACTTGGATGACAGCACGAATTTCTTAGCTGGCGGGATTATCAGTAACAGAACACATAACTCACTTTGTAGACATAGTAACAAAAACTATGTGACAATTTATGTAATGGTTTACAAGGTAATGAATCATGTGACGTTACTTAGCTTGTGCGAGATTTTCCCCACTCCTACACTACGTACCCCAAATAAAAGGACGTTACTTTCCGAATATCCCTCATATTTAGGCTCTTAACTAGTGTGAGACTTTAAATGAGTCAAAGTGAATGAGCTTTACACAACGCTACATTTACATCACATAAATCATACGTCGAGTTCATCTGAATCTTCAGCACATTGAAAATACGTACGTTAACATTCTGTCTTTAAGCGTATTTGAGTCAAAGAATGAATTAAAGTGAATGAAATGTTTGGTAATTCGAGTGTAACATAGCTAAATGTTGATTATAGATTATAATATAATCGGCTGTATTCTGTTCTGTGGAAGTCAGGCAAGTGTCTGAGAGAATGTGAGTTGCGTACAGATATGACATAACTAAGAGATTTGGATCTTCTTTTCGAAATACGCCCGTAACTAGCCAATTAATATTAATATGTATTCCGAATTTAACTGTAGTCGAATTCCTTCAAATTAGTGCGGAAATGTGGCATGTGGATATGGAGTTTATTTTGTCGAACTGGTAGGAATTCACTCAGATTGTTCCAAAACATTTTAGAATACTAAAGCTATCCCTGTAACAGGCCGTGGAGGCCCATAGGGTAATGAGATGTTGAGGTTCCAAAATTATCTAGACATTCGGCTCACAGATGGCGGTGAGGTTGTCAGCCTTACGCGCCAGCAGCCCTTTACCCCCAGGAATATTCCTGGTACTCATTTGGATTAAGGGCTAATTTGACCCCAGGGCCATAGTGCGGCTGGAAGGATTAGGTAAATTGAAAAAATCCAACTACTCGGATTCGATCCTGCGACCTTCAAGCTTGTAGTATAGTGCCTCAACCAACTATGCTACCGCGAGCCCCACAAAACATTTTAGTAGACACTCTAAATGTCAACTTCCATGGACGTCTCATAAATTGGAGAAGAAATATCACTCATATGTGTCATGTTTGTAAAGTTGAATATCAACTTGATGGAAGTCCATCAGACTAGTGGAAAACGCTCTATGATATATGTGTGTTGAACTTAACACGATGAGTTTTGTGTTTTCCACTGAAGATATATTTCGCTATTGAACGTAACATTTTAATAACTTCTTTAAATTCATTTACCCTCAAGTCTTTATTAATATTAATTATAAGTGAAACCTATTTCAGATTTGGGGAACGCGGTAGCGTAGTTGGTTGAGGCGCTATGCTACAAGATGGAAGGTCGCGAGATCTAATCCCCATGAGGTGGATTTTTTCAATTTACCTAATCTTTCCAGCCGCACTGTGGCCCTGGGGTCGACTCAGCCTCTAACAGAAATGAGTACTAGAAATACTCTTGGGGGTAAACTGCGGCCGGCGCGTAAGGCTTACAACCTTACCACCATCTATGAGCCGATTGTCTAGAAAATGTGGGAACCTCAACATCTCACAACCCTATGAGCCTCCATGGCCTGTTAAAGGGATACCTTTACTATCTTGTTTTTTTTTTACGTATTTCAGTTGTCCGAAAAGCGAATGGACAAAACTTTCTTACCGTGAAGAGGTCAATGTACTGTTTATTATCCAATTAGAAGCTTTATCATTTATTTTATGTTGGAGAGAAATATGGATCATTCGGTTTGAAGAAGTGCATACATTACAACGAAATTCTGAGGAAAATATCTGGAGGCCAAATGGCCAAGTATTAGCAAAATTGAACCTACGAGTTTTCCTGCCTCAGTGTTTGTTCGTTTGCCAGTTGTAAGAAGGTTTCTGTGATTAAATTAAACCAGAACCACCGGTCTTTCCTTAAGAGCATACAAAAGTGTACTGAAATATTTTTCACTCATATAACTTCACACCTGCTGTTCATTACTTTCAGTATTTAGCAAGAATTGTTGTGTAAGTTTAACTTTTTGGATCCATGTACTGAGTTTAACTTTTAGGCTTTGTAAAGAGTCTATCAGACTGGCCCATTCTGCTCGTCTGTCTGTCTGTCCTCATGAAGTAACTCGAGCATCGCTGAACGCATTTTCGCGGCATATTATGTTCGTTTCAAATTGCTAAAATAACAT